ATTGAAATTGACAACACACTGAACATGTTGAAATTGACAACACACTGAACATGTACGTTGAAATTGACAACACCCTGAACATGTACGTTGAAATTGACAACACACTGAACATGTTGAAATTGACAACACCAAGCACACATACACTGAAACTGACAACACCCTGAACATGTACATTGAAATTGACAACACCCTGAACATGTACATTGAAATTGACAACACACTGAACATGTATGTTGAAATTGACAACACCAAGCACACATACACTGAAATTGACAACACACTGAACATGTATGTTGAAATTGACAACACCAAGCACACATACACTGAAATTGACAATACCCTGAACATGTACATTGAAATTGACAACACCCTGAACATGTACATTGAAATTGAAAAACACACTGAACATGTATGTTGAAATTGACAACACCAAGCACACATACACTGAAATTGACAACACCCTGAACATGTACATTGAAATTGACAACACACTGAACATGTATGTTGAAATTGACAATACCAAGCACACATACACTGAAATTGACAACACACTGAACATGTACATTGAAATTGACAACACCCTGAACATGTACATTGAAATTGACAACACACTCAACATGTATGTTGAAATTGACAACACCAAGCACACATACACTGAAATTGACAATACCCTGAACATGTACGTTGAAATTGACAACACACTGAACATGTACATTGAAATTGACAACACACTGAACATGTATGTTGAAATTGACAACACCAAGCACACATACACTGAAATTGACAACACCCTGAACATGTACATTGAAATTGACAACACCCTGAACATGTACGTTGAAATTGACAATACCCTGAACAGGATGGTAAGGCAGTGATTTGTACTCTTAACACGATAAGATGATGGGAAGAAATTACATCGGAACAAAAGTTTATTAAAATGAAAATGTGGGACAAATGTTGGGACCTAATACTAATACGTTGGAACAAATATGAATTTGGAATGTGAATAAAACATTTAGGTTGGCATGCAGGGTAGGAATGCAAATCTAGACAAGATTTAGTTATCGGAAACACACTAACTTTTTATTTGTGATCACGATAAATAAAAACATGTCCAATTAATAAAACATAATTGTACGGTACTACTGTACAAGAGACATTTTTTTTTACATAAAAAAAATTATGGTCTTAGTAATTTGTCTTTATTATGATATTTCTTAGTGTGACATTTAATTTAGAAAGAATGAATTCCTGGTCTTGCTGTTGTCAACATGCAGCTCCCATCAGGATCCAGTCAAACCATTTTCATTTAATTATAGTTCTAATTATATAGTCCTAATTAAATAAATAAGACTATGAATATTACAGCAGTGATTGTATGCCACAATTATGATAATAAATTCCAATGTGTGCAGATTTCATCCACAAAAAAATGAAAATACACTAGCAGGAAATGCATCGCCAATGAACAAAAAAATCTTGTGAATTATTGTTGTTGTTCATGGTTTAACTATTTTTAGAAATTAAATCAGAAATATGAATCCCTCAGGTTTGTAGAACGGAAAGCTCTTTACATATAATAATTAATGTAAATTGAATGAATATATTCACAAGATTACTGCAATGTTTTTTTATTATTTATTAATTATGAATCTGTTGTATTTTTTTAAAAAGTTTAGCAAAAGATGCATATTTATAAATTGAAATATGGTAAATCATGCCCAACCCGCAATAATATGTACTTTGCAGCCGGAGAAACTACTGTTAGTAACCGTAGCTGAATAAATCTAGAACGCCGATGTGTATATTAGTCGCGGAAGAGGCGAACATCATGGTATCTCTGACTCTGTTCAGCAAGGGTTGTATAACGGGCGTGGTCATCCATATACTGTACAAGGTATAGTGAAAAACAATACATTTACCCGTAGATGATCAATAATCGCGTTAATATTTAACTAAATGAATGGTGTGCATGTATCTGAACAGAATATATATTACATGTACATAGGGTAATCATGAAGCGTGTGTTAAAATATTACTATGACATGTCTCTCTCTGATCGGAGTAGTCAGAAATAGGAATTCAATGATTGAAACATTGTCGAAAGTACTAGTACTTACAAAGAACGAATCTCGAAACTCCGTCATGGTCACTGCTCCAGGAAATATTCACAAAACTACTCATAGGTCGCAGTCAGCAAGACTATACACACTACAACACTACTTGTTGTCTTGTACTGCCGAGGAAGTTCTGTCCACCCAGAAACTACTCAATGAGCGCCCTCATTGGCTAAAGTATTTTAAACCCAATGCGATTAATAGGGTTAATAATTTAATGTTTATTTGTTTTTCACAAAAAACTATAACACTTGTCAGAAAAAGCAGATCTATGATTCAAAACGCAGCAATATACGACTAAAAAGGAGAGAATGTTTGGCGAGGTTGCTTTATATTGAGCCTGATGTGTTATTGAATGTTAAAATAAAATATTTATATAAAGAAAGAAACTGCCTAATTCTGAAGAGGTATATTTCTTACATTGGTGCATACCCTTAGGAAAATATAATCATAACAAACTTTTTTGATATAATGCAGTTATAAATGGCTACTCTTGCTCTATGTATCATATAATCTAAGTGAATCCACAATTAACAGTATTTTGAGTAGAACAGTTAACTGTGACCCATTTGAAACCAAATACTTTTTTCACACTACTACGGCAGATTTGTTTTAACTTCGGTTGAACTATCTGTTATTTTGTACAGAATTTGTATAAACTCTCACATAAGCCTAAATATTTGTTTCCTGAAATAAAGTTCACTGTTTTAGTTTGCTAGTACTAAAAATAAGCCAACAATAATTTGTAAAGCTTCCAGAATTACTAAAAAAAACAAACAGATTTTTTATATCATACACAACCACTACACATGATTCACTGCAAAATTTTTTAAAAGATGTTTTATCTATTTTTGGCAATGGGAGAAATGAAAAAACACAATTTTGTAAGAGAACACTTTGTTTAAATCGATATACATATGTACAAGCAACGCAGCATGCAGGAGCGATATAGGAAAACTACCACTATTAATAGAAATTAAATTAATGCTAATAAAATACTGGTTAAGACTAAAAGATATGCCAGAGGATAACCTTACAAAACAAGCATACTATGAACAACGAAAATCACAGCAACATACATGGTTATCATCAGTAAATAAAATATTAAAAGATAATTATTACACATCATTAATAAATTTTACAACAGGTATTCCCAAAAGAAACATTCATAAGATTATAAATAACATTTAAGCAAATATAAAACAAAAATAAACCAGTGGAAATCACACATCTCAAAAGATAATACTAAACTTAGAACATTTGCAAACATCAAATTTAAATACTCTTTTGAGACATATTTGACATTACAAAACATTAATCACAGAAGTGCATTGCTAAAATTAAGAACAAGCACACACAAGCTTGAAATTGAAAAGGGCAGGTACATACACCCCAAAACACCACTAAATAAAAGAAAATGCAAACAGTGCAACATGAATGTGATTGAGAATGAATTCCACTTTCTCATGATTTGTCCAAAATATGGAAGCTTACACCAGCAACTTTTGTCTGAATTTAATTTTCTATCACATGGTGCACACAATACATTCATTCGATTGCTCAGTGCAGATGAATGTGAAATTATAAAAACTGTTTCACAGTTTATTTACAAAGCCTTTCAAAAAAGAATAGATAGATGATAGTTTTGAATTTTATTATTATTAATCTTTAACTAATATTTTAAACACATTACATCATTTTACTTTCATACTTAACATTATATTATTTTCTCTTTCTTTATTATTTCAATATTAATATTGACTTAACTATATTAATATACTGGAACCTTTAATGTCCTCGTTCAAGAATATAATTTTTCAGCTCACGATATCGAATGATTCTGTGACGTAATGTTAATATACTTGTATTTTAGAATGATCATATTTAATACAAACGTCTACAGTATTTCTTGAACTGTATGATAAAAGTGTGAACTTTCACTGAAAATATTAAAAACAGAATTTCGTACCAAACTCTCGTCCAACTTGAATTCTCGCGTTGTTCGTGATTGCGCGGCTAACCTTCCAAACGTGTGTTTGAGGTCAGAAACATGGCATCTGATGGGTGAGTTTGCAACATTTAATTTGGTCACATTTTATTTATAAAGTGAACCTGTCTGTATAACTGGACTTTTTCTTGGTATTTTGTTAGTGTTATATCTTAACCATTATTGTATTTGTGTGTGAATCCGTTTTCTAATTCCCCGTGATGGCTAAAATCGTAGCACTCGTAACGACATAAACCGGATTTACCGTTTTCTATCATTGTTATCTATCGTGTAATAAGAGTTCATTCTTCAAACAATCATAATATGCAGAGACAATATTCCATTTATGTGTGAAAATCCTTGTACTATGTAAATTGGCGCTGAAACAGTTTTGTACGAACAGAGCTTCTGTTTTCCTTGGAGATGCTACAATTGCGTTTCCGGTTTCCAGTGTAGCGGTTCCCACGTGTGGAACTTACTAGAAACATAGGTCATGTTTCATGGTTGAGCTAAAAGGAGTTTCGCTACGTTCGCGGTTTTAGGAATAGTCGGATGATCGTATCTCGACTACTTCATTAAGCATGGCACTGGGACGTTCTGTACCCTGAACACTGTATTGCACTATTTTTTTTTATGAGCTAATTGCTCATGTATTTCTAAATTCTATATCTCCGCCCTCATCACGATTACACAACGATGACTTGTAGGGCGAGCCAAATACTGCAATACTGTATAACAGATTATTTTCTATTTAATAATTGATTTATGTATTTAAAAAAAACTCATTTTAAATTTCAATATTTTTGGCGGCGGTAGAAATGTTGCATTTTTAGGTTTATTTTATGTGTTTACTTAATGATGTTTTTATTTTGTGCTGGCATACCCATAAACAACACTAAAGACAGATCTCATGTGATGTTTTTTTTTTTATATATGGCGTATAATTCTGACAATTACAGATAACACTTGTAAGCATACATTTTGATATAATAAGAAACAACCCCCCCCCCCCTCCCGTTGATTGTTTGTCATAATCCTTCCTGAAGTTTCATCATGTAAAATTTGTGATCTTTTGTGAGGTCAGTGAAGAAAAGAAAAATGTAGTAAGAGTTCATTAAGACCCTTCACCCATAAATAATTTAACCCTGCCCCTCCAGTACCTCTTCCAATTCAATTGTATATATCCCTCTTTGGGTCACTTATATTTATTTGGAGGGGTATATTGAATTCCATTGGGGGGGGGGCTTGAGTATTGGGGTTAGGGTTCAGGTTAGGAGATGAGAGGGCCTTAAGGAACTCTTTCCAAAAAATTCTCACTTTGCAAGAGGGCAGTCAACTTTTGTGACAGTAGATATTACACGTATGTTTATTCTGTCGTGATTGGTCGACTGAAGTATACAAGGTGTTCAAATTTGGTTTTTGATTTGTTACAGGGTTACAATGCATCCACCAATCCTTTGGGCTCAGAGGGCTGATGTAGTGTTTCTTACAGTTGATGTTTCCGATTTGCAAAAACCAGAAATCAAATTAGATGACAAGAGATTGTTCCTGAAAGGAAAGTGTGGTCATGATGACAAAATGTATCTTGCAGATTTAGAATTCTTTGGTGACATAAACCCAAAGGTAGGTTACTGTAAATTGTTTAAAAGTGACAATAGCTGTAGCTATCTGTTTTTTTCTCAGATTTTTGTTTTTAATAAAACATTTCTTATATCATCCATCAGTTTAAATTTGAAATGTGGACACTGAAAGCATAGTGTATACACTATATAACGACGTTGTACATTAAATTTAGATGAAAAAAGATGGCAGCATGGTTGCAACCAGGTTACCAGAGGGCGCCATCTATTGAAATCAAATATTGTCACGCTAACCTTGGGATTATTGTAGCACAAAATGGCAACTTACCCTGAGCGAAATGTCCAATATGTTGCCATCTTCAGAGATTAAGCCTCTCTTTGCCAGGGTCTCACTGATGATTTTATGTGTCCTATAATGTTGTGTGTCATGCGTCGTAATTCCTTACTGTTCCCACCACATGACCAAGTTCAACAAAAAAGGCAATAACTCAACCCTTAGTTTTAACTTGCATGTAGCTGATAGAGCTACAGAAATAATTTGAATAAACGAGTCTGTGGCCAGGATCTTATGAGAGACGTTAAGCAATTGGCAATTATCTATTCACTGTGAGATCCCACATTATGCATAAAATTGAATGTATAAACAGGACAAACAATTATGTGCTATACACATCATAGTAAATGCCATATTATTCTCAGAAATTACGAAATTATTTGATTTTAGCAGCAGATGATTTGATCAGCACAATTTAGCACATTGTGTGCGAGATCCCACAGTGATCGGGAAATCCACGATTAAGCTAAATGTCAATGAGATATTAGAAAAACTATTCGATCAGATTTTACATGCGCAATTCCTGATTTTTTTTCAGCTGAACTTTGAAGGATTTTTTTTGATCAGTATTTTTGGGGTTGGGAGTTCCATAGATTGGTGGCTGCACACTTAATTGTATTATGCCTCATGTAAATTATCTTTGGAATATATGAATTGATCTGTTATAATCAAATCATGTATGATGGTTTGCCAAAATATCAATTTTGTTGACATATCTATGTTGTATGTCAGATACAAAGAGGCTTGTTTAAATCAATTATATATATATGGTTGTATATATCTGGCATTCAATGTGCTTTTTCTAGCCATTATGTGACAGAAATATTACGTTGTGTATGGTATATGTTGCATCAAATGCAACTCAACAGTGTTACCTTAAACATTTTCCAATGGCTCCAGGCGTTGTTATAGAAAAAATGTTTTTAAAATTTTGGGAATAAAAAAAATCTGTTTATTTTCATTTAAAACGTATAAAAAGATTTCTCCAAATCTATATGCATTATTGCAGCTAGTCTGAACCATTCAAATGATGCAAATATGTTACTGAAATGGACATCAAATTAAACCAAACAGACTGCTGTTTGTTTTTTTGTCTTTAGGGTGGCTTAGATGTACATATGTGGTTGAATATTGTCTTGACAGATGTACTTGTTATGCCCACCATATTGTGGAAAGAAATGTCACCAGTGTAATTAAAATTCTTATGAGATAACTGAAAATTATTCCTGTTCACCTAACACAAGCATCAAAAGCTGATTTTAGTTGACTTGCATAACAAAAGAAATGGTGTCTGAGTTTTGAAGGGAAAAAATGCTTAGTCACAGAAAAATGACTCATCGAAACAGTCAACACACTTTCCTTTGACTCTGGCAGAAATATTGCAGCACTTTCCTGCAATCACAGTTTGACAATTTTGGCAATTTTTTATTTAACATGACTACTTACAATAGAGTATGTTTAAAAATGTTTATAGTCGGTCTTATAAGCAGAATAGATGTGATTTTGAAAATTTTTTGTTTAAATATAACGACATAAAGATGACCAAATCTTACTGAAATACAACTGCATGGGCAAAGTGATCCTGCACTTCACTACGATGTGAAATCTAAGAGTTGAGAGAAGTCACCATTTTGTTGAAATAGGTCCTGTGGTAGGGTTGTTGAAAATTATGACGCACATCACACTATTAATTGAAATGACACGTTATTATCAGCGAGACCTTGGCCGTTTAACCCGTTTATAATACGTTGTACGGAACCTGATATTTTACACTTGCGAAATTATGGAGGGAGAGAATTTGTTTTTGATTCTGCCAAGGCAAATAAATTAACCAAGTAATAAAGAATGTAATTCTATACACTTGTCTGCTCATTTCACTATTTTACCGTCACAACGCAACGTTTGCGACTACATAAAAAAGAAACGCCTTGAACACATTGCAAACTGCAGCATTACAATCGTATTTGAACGACACGATTCACAATTATAACAGTAGTAACATATTTTGACCAGCTTGGCAAATAGTCCTGGCACTTAGAATGAATAGCATGACGGATTCCAACGGCTGAGCTTGGAATGTCGGCAATCACCAACGTAAAATGACCGGGACAGCTGGTGGGAAATATTCAAGTCCACGTGATTTCACCGTCTGAGCTAGCATATGCAATTCTATGTGTATGCAAATTGTAACCAATCAGTGTTCGAAAAAATAACATATTTATTTACATAACAATAAATATTTAAATTGTGGGGAGATGCAGACAAGACTTTGTGGACATCTGGTCATTCAGTATAAATATGACCGAAGAAAGTGAGATAAAGCCCAGACCTCCTTTCCTGCACGTACGTTAATATGCCGTCCTATACAGATAGGAAGTGTTTTATGAAGGCAAGAAGGAAACTGAAGAAAACGCGTCAATCGTGCAGTGGCACGGGGAGTGATAAGTTTGACATTGACACGACAGATTTTTCACCAGCAAAGCGTGGGAAAAGAAAGAAATCCAAAGCAAAGGAAACATTTGACGTCGGTGAGTTATAAGCCGCACGTACCACGGACGCCAGTGATAATAGTTCACTCAAGAAAAGGCGTAAAAAGAAAAAGAACAAACGCAAGTCGGAGACTGTCTCCTCTGTCAATGAACATGCGATTACAGAAGAAAGCTGTTCGAAGGACTGCAGGGGCAAACCAGGAGGCAAACGTAAATCAAAGACGAACCGTAAAGTGGTTGAATCGCCAGCTGCCAACGAAGCAAATGTCGAAGAAACGGGAGTTGGTCACGCTGAAATATAATGTGCCGTCAAAGATGTGATACAATTTTTGCAAGACAATGTTTGCGATTTGTAACAGTCGTAACACAGAAAAGCAGGGGCCTGAACATATTGACCCAGCGAGTACGTAACAAAACGTCGATGTCACCAAAGAAATGGTACAAGAAAATGTATGCGATACAGAACAATCAACACTTAAGAGTTTCCCCGCAACAAACTATTAAAAAACGTGTTGTGTATGCACACGCATCGCCAATGGACACGCGTGATGATGAACTTGTATTGGACGAAAAAACGGGTGAGCTACGACACAAAATACCAGATGACTTCATAGTTGTAAATGACGACGATACAGATTCAGAAATCGATGAAGATCATGCTGAGAATGACGATTTTTTAGAGCAACGTTACCCACCTGTACTCGATAGCGACATTGAAATTGAATCAGACACAGAAATTGGTGCTACATTCGATTATGTTGCCTCCGGCACTGGTGAATGGAGAATGCCGACGGAGGAAGACTGCGATATATTTACTATTCCAGTTTTTGAACCCAAACCTGGACCAACTTTCGAACTGCCTTCATATGCTCATGAGGTGGAATATTTCTACAAATTGATCCCACCAGAACTGATAGAACTGGCTTCCATCGAGACTAATAAATACGCCAAATATCATCAAAAATACATTGCAAAAAAATTAAATGCCCGCTGGCGTAATACAAATTTCAGTGAAATGCAAGCATTCTTTGGTGTGATGATATGTATGGGTGTTGATCACAAATCAGCAATCGATGATTATTGGTCGAATGACCCCTTTCTGCAGAATATGGGAATTGCATCAGTAATGACTCGGGCCAGATTTCAAATGCCTATGCGATATTTTCATTTAGCTGATCCAGTAAATGACCCACGGCGGGTTCCTGACATTGAACGTCGTCGTCAACTATCAGAGGCCGACTCGTTGTATAAAATCAACCCGTGGCTGAAACCCGTACTCGAAAAAATTTTCGGCGATACTATCAGAAACATCGAAAGGATGCCCAATTTGTAAAGTTCACCTTCATGCGAGTAAATCTATCGCTGCTATTCATAACAACATGGGAGCAGCCCGCCGGGGTGGACGACTAAGAAAAGCGCACAACAAATAAATTTGGGACTTATTACAGCGTCATGGACTTTACAATAGTTTGAAGTGGTGAAAATACGTTATCGTTAATTTAGTTTCTTGCTCACTTGGTATTTATACGTTTTAATGTCAGGATAGTTCATCGGGTCTAGTTGGTAGAAATACGTTTCTGCGCGAGTATATATACACGCCAAGTCCCTGCAGTTACGTTCTCGCTAGTTCGTTTTATTTCAAGTCGTTAAATATACATTGAAATATTTAGTTAGTTAATCGGGTCATGTCGGTGAATATACGTTGCCGTGTGAAGATAACCCCGATCAAGTCGCTGCAGTTAAGTTCTCGTTCGTTTTAGTTTCAGTTTGAGTCGTTAAATATACGTTGTAAGTGTGGGCTCACTTGTACAGTCAAGTCGGTTAATATACGTTAGAGCTTGAATATAACATCAGTCAAGTCACTGGAAAGCACGTTGTAATATGTTACACATGTAGTTCAAGTCGTTGAATATACGTTGCAATTTGAAATGTACGCTGTCAGGTCGAGTACGTCAAACAAGTTTCCCCCTGTACATGTCCCAATAATCCCCATACTCGCACGTTTTTCTTACTTCGAACTTGCATTCATGTAGTGACCTTTTACTTGCTTGTAATGTGTTTTCAATTAAGCAATATTTATTTCAATGTTTAACACGTGTTTATTGAGACTGTACAAAGGGCAAAACATCGTTACTTAACGACAGTAAAAAATGTGTATTGAAATAAAACATTGATTTTTTTTATACAAGAAATTGTTCTCCATGGTGGTAATGAAGTGTGTATGCGAACAGATTGCAAAAAATGTGAAAACTGAGGTCGATACAGTCTGTTAACTATGGCCTATTTTTGCAAAAATGTCTGGCAGGATAGCATGCACAGATGCTGGCTACTGGAGTGCATTGAATCATAACCGTTTTTCACCAACTTAACCTGATAGCCTGAAACTCCCCTGACCGGAAAAGGGTTAACACAGCAGTATCAACTATACAAAAATGGGAGTTCAACAGTGCTCTTACGGTGAATGCAAGAGTGATTCTCGATTTCATCTAAAGGATTACACAAAACTTGTTTTTACACGTTTCCTGAAACCAAAAACTCAACCTTGGAAATGTGTTCTGTGGATCGGTGCTGATGACTTTGAAAGACTCTGGATCACACAAGACAGTACTCGACCACGTTAGGGCCCAAAATCTTCACTCAGAAAATCATGATTTTTTTAGGGGTGGGCGCATACCCGAGCACCCCCTCAGAAAAGACTGCTAATGACATTTAAAATTCACTATTGTGAAACTCTCTATGACGAGCACATTCCGCCATGATGTATTCTTGCACAGTTTGACCTGTAACAACGTCATCGCATTTCAATTTTATTAACAAGTACTGTCAAAGTGTAGTTTACGCACAGTTACCATGGTCTACACATTCACAACGTATTCACGGTGGTCGATATCCACGCTGTATCATATAAAACCGATTACCAGTATATTCATTAAGCAAAGATCAAAGACCAAGTTTTATAATTAGACAATGGTAATGGTCAATTACCGAGGCAATAGTCAGACATTGACACCGATACCAGCCGCTGCAAGGGGTGTACAATTCGATGTTGAAACACTGAATTTGTTGACATCATCCATCATATAAACGGAAAAAAAAGGATAAAACAAACTGATCACCAGCATGGAAATTAGAACGTAATGCTCGGATCCCATATATACCCGGAATATCCACTATTAGAGATAATAGGCCTAAGTTATTGAAAAAAAATGTCTCTAACATTGTCTTTTGTTATGCAAATCATTGTACGTAGCCTTATCAAAATCAGAATATTCAAATTACCTGACTGACTCTTATGGTGGGATATTATATAAAATGTCTCCCTTGTTGATTTTTCAGGATTCAAGATATGCTGTGAGGGATAGAAATATAGAATTTATCATAAAGAAGAAAGAAAGTGCACCATATTGGGACAGGTTATTAAAATTGAAAAATAAGGTAAGAACATGTTACCTGCTGTACCTGAGTGGATAGATGGGGGGGGGGTTACTTGTTGTAGTGTCGGCAGTCATTCATGTTAGTACACTTATTAACCACAATTCTCTCAGACATTCCACTTTGAATGATCTAATCTTTTATTGACAACCTGTTATTATTTATGGTTTCCTGTGTTTCTTGCCAGCTCTGTGTACTTCTTCATTGACTAGACCATATAAGACCTAATTAAAAATTATTAAACGAACAAAAAACTGACACTTGACAGCTGTTTGAAAAGTTTAGAGCTTGCTGTGTATTGCCTTCAGAAGTTGAAGGCAAGATACCAAACTTGACAACCTAGAATGCTAAAATTACTGGCAAAAATCACTAAAAGTCAAAATCAACCAACTGAAACTGCTTGAAGGCAATGATGAAATTAAGATGTGATCAGTATCAATAAATCTATCACCACTTTTAAATTAGTTTTAAAGTAAATGTGGTACCAGAGAAATAGTGTGAGAAAGGTCAGGTAATTGCATCCATGGCTGACACCAGTTATTCGTTGACGACTGAGACACATTTTCACAACACAACAAAGTTTACCAGTAAATCAAAACTCAGGAGATACTTTTCATAATCAGCTGTTTATTTAATTACTGATCAGGACAGAAATACGGTAGGAATGTTTAGCTGCACAATTAACCTGCACTTAGAGTAGGAAAATTAATCACAAACTGACCTGTCCCTATAAGGTGGATAGTTCATGAATGTCAACAGAGTTTTTTATTTGATGTGAAAATTACAGGCACATGCATGAAGCTGTTGAGGTAGCTGTAAGGCAGAAATTGTTGGATGTTGATGGGGTCATATTCACGCTAATTATACATTGCTTATTGATTTCATAGCAAGTATAAATTGTATATAACTGTAATAAATTAATAATATAAAATAATATATTTTTGGTTACTTATCACATTTTAATTACCTACTGGGTAAATATATATAAATCAAATTATGGCTGCATTATGTTAATTAGTATGTAAACTAGCATGCTAAGTAGCCGTAACCCTTAGACTCCCGGGGTTG